GGGCCTCAAGGTTCCCCCCAAGTCTAAGATCGCCGCTGACAACTTCGAGCTGGGGAGGGAGCTTCAGAAGGCATTCCCCGACGCGGGCTTCGCGGCCAACGTCGGGGAGGTCGCCGCGGATTTAGGCACCGATCGCGGGGAGGTCCCCTTCACTCGGCCAAACCGAGCGACCGGGGGGAAGGGCGCGCAGAGGAGGCTTACGCGCGCGACGAGGTTTGCACATGGAGCTGCCAGGAAGCGCGCCGGAGCCAGGCTCGCCACGATGGGAGTTCCACCGATGGCGGATTATTCGGACATGGTCTTCGGCGCGGCGCCTGCTGTCATCATTAGTTAGAGAATGCCGACGGGGCAAACCCTGGCGCGCAAGAGGCCAGGTCGTTGCCCCGCGACCTCGCTTCAGCTTCGAGTAGAAAGGAAAGACCCACAATACCATGCGATTCACAGGTTGGCAAGTCCCTGGGAGTCGCATCTTCACGGGGGCCTTTGATTTGGCGCTGGCGCGTCGTACCTGGCGACCAGCGCGATGGCGCTTGGTCAGCAAACACAGAAGAAACTGGTGGCGTGGCATCAGGGGCATTGCGTCGGCGCGTCGGCTCTGATTGCGACGCTCATGGACATTGGTTGGGATCCGATTGGGCCTTGGAACTGGGTTTCTGATATCGGCGATCTACGCGCTGCACCAGACGCCTTGATCGCGAGCGGGCCGCAGGACATACGTGCTCTGACGGATGCTATGTCAGAGACTATCGACCGAATGCCATGGGACAGGGCTGCCAGGCATTTGGATTGGGGAAGGTCTTGAAGGCGGAGCAGATGCACGGGGCGCGCGTCGACGTCTTGCCGCGCTCAAGAAGAAGGGCAACCACGAGCTGGCCAGCGCTGCCGAGGCGGCGACGACAGGTGCGGCATGGACCAGATCGAGGATCCCCTCTCTGAGCAGCAGCAGCAATATGGAGTCGGCGGAGCGCCCGAGGCGCTCGCGCGGCCAATAAGAAACTGACTCACACAGGAGTTGGGCTCGCGCATGCAACGAGGAGTTCGCGACCATGCCCCGCGGGTTGGTCAACAGCAATGGGAGATCATGAAGCGCTACCTTGTTTGGCACCGAGGTACCCCGCCTGCTTCTTGGACGCGCGTCGAGGAGGCCACTGACGACCCCCTCGATGAGCTCGGCGAGCGATTGGAGGATCTACGGCGGAGGGATCACCTTCCTGTTGCGGGGTATGCCCCCGGCGGCGCCCGCAACTCTGATCCACGTCTGCGCGGGATTGGGTGGTCTTGTCAAGTGGTGCGCGATGGGGCCCTTCCAGAGGTCGACGCGGATCACCTTGTTTCGCGCGGCGGAGGCATCCCGAGGAAGCAGGCGATCCACGAGGAGGGAGAGGAATGCCTTAACTTCGCGCCGTTGAGGATTTTCTCAGATTCCAAGTGATCCGCTCCGATCACCGTCGCCACGGGCTCAGGCTGCGCCATGAAAGGTTGGAACCACATCCGAGTGGGCCGTTTACCCGCGACCAAATTGGAGCTTTGGCGCGAGTTGCAGGCGGCTCTGCGCCCTGCTCCTCATCTACTGACGCTGGGCAAGATCTAAAGCCACCTCGCGGTCGGTGAAGCCCAAAGACAAGGGGTCAGGCTGGACAACTACCTGGCCAACGCCTTGGCTGATGAGGCGGGTGGGTTCGGGGCAGAGAAGTGCGCGGCGGTGGACTCTGTCGATGGAGCGCTGGACCACGCGGAAGCTATTGGCAAATCCGTAAGTTCTCGGATGGGGAAAGCTGTCCTTGCGGCGACGGCGGCTAAGACTAAGAGGGTCAAAGCGACGCGCGCTATGGCGAAGGTTTTAAGAAGGTTTGGTGGTTCTCGGAGCGCCAGGTTCGATCGGGCATTGGTTCCTCCTTTTCACGGTGGTGCGTGCGGACGCAGCGCCAGTGGCAGGAAGCTCGGGCAGTTTCTGGACACACCCTGCATGGAAGGCGCGGTCAGAGGTGCCATCCAAAGGGTCTGCGGGTTTAGAGTGATGGTGCAAGGAGTTGCTGTGCAATTCTCGCATCTGTTAGGCTATGTCAGTGACCTTCAGATGCACGCGTGTCTTCGGTGCGGCTGTGCTGGGAAGCATTACGTCGGAGGTTTGGCGGAGAAATGCTCGGGGCATTCGGGACATTACGGCAGTCCGAACATTCGCAAGCTGGCCCGTGAGATCTTACCCATCTCGTGTAAGAGGCCGACTACCTGAGGTATCGTTGCGTGGCCTTGCTCCTTTCTGATATTTGAAGCTTATTACCTTGCAGTTTCTCTGGTTGTGGCAAAACCAGCTTGGCTGGTGATTCTGGCCCACGTGGCAACAAGATCCTTGGGACATCTTGGGTGGTCCCGCTCCACGGGTCCCCATCTCTGGTATGCCGGCTGCTGGTTTTACTCTGGTCGCTACGTTTCTAGTGGCCCCTGGCATTTTCGACCTTTTTTTTCAAAGGGTTGTGGCAGCCAGCTGGTGTCTGGTGATCCCAGCCCTTGCTGTATCTATGTATTGTGACAGAGCCAGCGGGTGTCTGGTGATTCTGGCCCTTGCAGTATGGTCGCTCGGTGGTTTGTGGCGTCTGGCTTGTTCGAAGCATTTATTTCCCAAGGGTTGTGACAGAGCCAGCTGGTGTCGGGTGATCCTGGCATTTTTGTCTTATGGGTTGTGACAGAGCCAGCTGGTATCTGGTGATTCTGGCCCTTGATGAATCGTCGTCCTCCTCGGTTTCTGCGTGGACGCCGTGGGCTTGGTCGTGAACGGGCGGCCGCCCTCTCCTTTCCCTCCTTCCTCCTTCCTCGTCCGCCTCCCTTTCCTCGCGGCATGGGCCTCGGTGTGGGCTGTGGCGACGGGCGGCCCGCGGAGTACTACATACTACTCCGTTTCCTCCTCCTCCTCCTCCTCCTCCTCCTCCTCCATTCGTTGTCCTTATAGATAACTCCTCCCTGTCGCGCCCCGAGGCCGGACGAAAGGGCGGGCCGGGCGATATGTCTGAGACTTCCTCCCCATTTATGATAGTGAGGCTTAAACATTGGCAACCAGTTCACAGGTGGAGAACGGGTCGCTTCCAAACTAATATTCTCGACATAGCACCGCGATCACTCGTTAAAAAATGGCACGGGTCTCACGGATTTAAGGCAGTCGTTTTCAAACGCGGTTACCGCCTTAGGTCCGACATTCGTTTGAGAATTTGCCAGAGCTTCACGGAGTCTCGCAGTAGCGCCGCGCACACTCGTCTTAAAAAGTTGCAAGAGCTTTCCAGATTGAGGGCGGTCCTTTCCAAACTGTTGCTCTCGCCTTCGCGCCGCACACATCCGTCTTCAGAAAGTACAAGAGTTGCATGTGTTGTTCCATGGTGGGCGTACAAGAAATAATGTTTTGAAACGCTTCAGGATTGTCAGGGCGCAATGGTTGCATTGATTCGCGCAGTCCTAGGAATGGTGTTTTGGCACGTTTCGGGATCGCCAAGCAGCTACAGTCAAGTGAACTCGAGGCGTTGGAATCCTGAGAATGGCGTTTTGCCACGATGCCAGATTTTGACACGGTTGCCCCCCAAGGGGGCGATTCCTTTAGTGGAGATGAACCGCTGCAGGGGCCTACGTGGAGGGAGCTTCACAGGAGGGTTGATTCCAACGTCGTTAATGACTCCTGGGTTTACACTGGTCCTCCTCTTCCTCCTCATCCTCCTCTCCCTCCTCCCTCCCTCCTCCCATATTCCCTCCCTCCCTCCCTCCGTCTTCCTCGTCCTCCTCTTCCTCCTCCTCCATTCGTTTACCTCAACAAAAATCCTCACTGTCGCACCACGAGGCCAATCGGAAAGGCGGGCCAGGCGTTTCGCTTGAAACCTAATCCATCACTGATGATCCATAAGCTTGAGATGTGCAACCGCTTCACGTATGGAGGGCGGGTGATGTTCAACATGCGGCTCCCGCCTTAGCGCCACGAGCACTCGCCTTAAGATATTGCAAGAGCTTCACCGATGAGGGCGGCGTTTTCAACCTGTGGCACTCGCCTTAGCGCCGCGCACACCCGTCTTAAATTTGCAAGAGCTTCACGGGTTGAGGGTGGGTGGATTTCAAGTTCTGCGGCTCGCCTTAGCACCGCGCAAGCTCGTCTTATCAAACATCTGCAGGAGCTTCACGGATTGGAGGCGATTCCGTTTCAAACTGTTGCTCTCGCCTTAGCGCAGCCCGCAATCGTCTTTAGCAAGTGCAGGAGCTTTCTGGGTTTTCATGGTTAACGTAACAGACATGGAGTTCTGGGGCGACTCAGGAGCTCCAGGGCGCAGCAGTTTCGTTGATTCGCGGCGCTGAGGTCCCAAGAACGGTGTTCTGGCAAGTTTCGGGGCTGTCAAGACGCACCAGTCAAGCTGATCCGTGGCATTGAAGCTACAGTCAAAAACCCTAATAAGGACGCGCGGTAAGGACGCAAGACCCTTGGAAGCCGAAGTTGGGATTTTTGGGACGGCGGACGACGAAAACCCCAAGGACGCATGAGCAAGGAAGAGCAAGGACGCAAGGGTACCCCGAACAAAGTCGCGCTTCCTTACTAGGGTTTTTGACTGTACGAGAATGGAGCTTTGGCACGCTTCAGGATCTTCCAATCCTTGTCGCCTAGCGGGGCACTTCCCCGAGTGGAAATAAACCCTTTGTATGGGGCCTATGCAGAGGAAGCTTGGAGGGAGGGTTTCTTCCAACATCGCCGATGTGTCTTGGTTCACACTAGTCTCCTCCTCCTCCTCCTCCTCCTCCTCCTCCTCCTCCTCCTCCTCCTACTCCTTCACCTCCTCCTCCTCCTCCTCCTCCTCCTCCTCCTCCTCCTCCTCTTCCTCCTCCTCCTCCTCCTCCTCCTCCTCCTCCTCCTCCCTCCCTCCCTCCCTCCCTCCCTTCCTCCCTCCATCATTCCCCCAGCTCCGCCCCCACTCACCATTCACCACCCCACCCCCTCGCCCTGGCCGCTCCACACTCCCCCGCCCCCTCAAAATGGCCTCGCGCAGCTGCCTCCACAGGCCCCGGGTCCCGCTCTTCACGACCTGGGCAGGGCGACCCATCGACGTCTCATCACATGCGACCACGGTTAGGTCGGGCTTGTCCCCCTACAGGCGGATTTTGGACGACAAATTCAAAAGAGTCAAACAATACTCCAACATGGTCCAAAAATACAACAAATCGTACACCTACTATTTTTGACTATTTTTGAATATTCGTCCTGTAGAGAGTCAGGCCCGACTTAACAGCAGGGCGATCCATCGACGTCTCATCATGTGCGACCACGGCGTTGGCAGAGCCGAAGACCAACTCAGCTTGACGGACGGCGCGACCCGAAGCCCAGAGAGGCGCAGCGGCGCAGCAAGAACACAGCAGCCGACCGAGCCGAACCGACCCCAGGCATGCTCGCGTCGTGCGGAAACCACGGCTGCCGCCATTTGGCCGCTTTCGACCCCCCCGGGCCCTCGCCAGGCCCTGGGACCGTCAAAGAAAATGGCCAGCGGGATGACTATCCCGCTGGCCGTGAAGCCAGGGTCGGGACTCGCTCTTCGGAAAAGCCGACCCCGGGGAGAGGGTCAGGACTTGCGGGAAGCCTGCACCGAAAAAGAATCCAGCTGCTGGGCATCCAGGGTTGCGACGCCACCGCAACGACGGAAACGCGGAAACCGTGGATGCCCATGACCCTGCTCGCGCCCCCACCCCGCGAGGGGCGAGGGGGGGCAGGGGCAGAGCCAGGCTCACCCGCGCCGCACTCCCTTGGCATCCGGAGTGGAAGGCAGCAGCAGTGGCGTGGGCAGGGAGAAAGCGTCGATCGTCGATGAGGAGGGGGGAGGAGGAGGAGGAGGAGGAGGAGGAGGAGGAGGAGGAGGAGGAGGAGGAGGAGGAGGAGGAGGAGGAGGGAGGAGGAGGAGGAGGGCGAAGGGCGAAAGTGGCAGGGGTCGAGGGAGGCGAGGGGCCTGGAGAGCCGACGCAACGCCAAGAACGCAGAGAACCCCGTCGTTCTGCTGCAAGTCTCGAGCCGGATCGATCTCCGAAGGCCCCTCCTCCTCCTCCTCCTCCTCCTCCTCCTCCTCCTCCTCCAGGGCCTCGTCCTCCTCCTCCTCCTCCTCCTCCCCTCCTCCTCCTCCTCAGAGATCCTCCTCCTCCTCCTCCTCCTCCTCCTCCTCCTCCTCCGCCTCCTCCTCCTCCTCCTCCTCCTCCTCCTCCTCCTCCTCCTCCTCCCTCCTCCTCCTCCTCCTCCTCCTCCTCCTCCTCCTCCTCCTCCTCCTCCTCCTCCTCCTCCTCCTCCTATTCACATCGCGATCGCCGATCGCCTTCTAGGAGGCCTTTAACATTGCAAAGGGCGCCTCCCAGGAGGAGGCCAGGGACCCGAAAAGTGAGGCGCAGACGCCCTGTGCGAGAAAGCTCCCGGCCAGGAGGGGAGGCGCCGCGAGTCCTGGGCGCCGGGGCGAGCGGGGCTCGCTCCGACCCCGCACCAGCGTCAGACTTTGAGCAGGGGCCGATCGTCCCGGCATTTCTGTAGGCCTACCACGACATGTTCTTAGAACCCCAAAACGTTCTCATAACATAAACCCGATGTGTTCAAACAAGACAATCCCAGCCAGAAATGTTCTAAGAACAGTTCGTGGAAACCACAAAAGGGTTCTTAGAACATTGTTTGGTAGGCCAATAGACACGCCAGGACGCTTCGCCACTGCTTGAGTCAGAGGTGCCTGCCCCCGCAGGCCCCCGACCTGGACGAGCTCACGAGCCGCCGCCTCATCCTGCAGGAGCAGGCCCACTAGCCTGAAGGAGTGGACAATCTCCCACCAAGGACGAGACGGTGGCGGCAGTCTGAGGGGCAACGAGAGGGGGGGGGGGGGGAAGCAGCTCGGGGGGAGAAGCATCCACATGGAATCGGCGATACATCGCCGACCGATAAGCGACAGGCCTCCCCGAAACCGCATCCGAACTTCCTGGACGGGGCGCGCTATGGGGCCCCCATCGGCGAGCAATGGGCGATTGGGGCTCGATGCATCCCCCCCTGAGCCCGTCCCCCCCCCCCTAGCGTTGCCCCTGACCACTGGCCCGAAGGAGCGGACGATCTTCCATCGAGGACCTGGGCCTCGTCATGAGCCCTGTGTTGGACCCCGGCAAGTTCACGTGCACGGACGAGGGAGGGGGGGCTGAACCTGAAGCAAGCCGCAAACGACTTGCACGTGCGGCAAACCACGCAAGTCGAAAGGCTCTTGCACGCCAGTATTCGTCTGAAGAGTGGCGATGGGGAAGGGGAGGGGGGGCGAACGCCATGCAAGTAAATCTGCCCGACTCTAAAACTCACTCTTTGAATTATCCTGGCGAAGGACCAACCATATGCAGTTTTAGTAACGCAAGGCTAAATACTGTCCTCGGTGGAGCTCCCTATGGGGCCAAGAACCTTATGAGGAGTGCGCCGAAACTGGGGTGGAACTGCATGCGAATTTTGCCACTGGGGCCTTCGGTGGAGCTCCCCATGGGGCCACGAACCGTGCGAGGGGTGCGCCGAAACGGGGGTCGAACTGCATGCGAACTTTACAACTGGGGCATTCGGTGGAGCTCCCTATGGGGCCACGAACCGTGTGAGGGGTGCGCCGAAACGGGGGCGGAACTGCATGCGAGCTTTGCCACTGGGGCCTTCGGTGGAGCTCCCTATGATGCCACGAACCGTGTAAGGGGTGCGCCGAAACGGGGGTGGAACTGCATGCGAACTTTGCCGCTGAGGCCCTCGGTGGAGCTCCCTATGGGGCCACGAACCGTGTGAAGGGTGTGCCGAAATTGCGTGGAACTGCAGCCATTGGGGCCCTCGGAAGAGCTCCCTATGGGGCCACGAACTGCGTGAGGGGTGCGCAAGAATGGGAGTGGAACTGCATGCGAACTTTGCCATTTAGGCATGCAACAAAGCGACCTATGGGGCCACGAACCGTGTGAGGGGTGCGCCGAAATGGGGGTGGAACTGCATGCGAACTTTGCCACTGGGGTCTTCGGTGGAGCTCCCCATGGGGCGGGTGGAACTGCATGCGAACTTTGCCGCTGGGGCCCTCGGTGGAACTCCCTATGGGGCCACGAACTGTGTGAAAGGTGCGCCGAAATGGGGGTGGAACTGCATGCGAACTTGCCACTGGAGCCTTCGGTGGATCCCCCATATGGGGCCACAAACCGTGCAAGGAGCGCCGACATTGGGTGGAACTGCATGCGAACTTTGCCACTGAGGCCTGCAATAGAGCTCCATATGGGGCCACGGACCGTGTGAGGGGTGCGCCGAAATTGGATGAAACTGCATGCGAACTTTGCCGCTGGGGCCTTCGGTGGAGCCCCTATGGGGCCACGAACCGTGAGCGGTGCGCCGCAGTGGGGGTGGAACTGCATGCGAACTTTGCCGATGGGGCCTTCGGTGGAGATCCATATGGGGCCACGAACTGTGTGAAAGGTGCGCCGAAACGGGGGTGGAACTGCATGCGACCTTCGCCGCTGGGGCCTTCGGTGGAACTCCCTATGGGGCCACGAACCGTGTGAGGGGTGCGCCGAAACGGGGGCGGAACTGCATGCGAACTTTGCCGCTGGGGCCCTCGGTGGAGCTCCCTATGGGGCCACGAGCCGTGCGAGGGGTGCGCCGAAATGGGGGTGGAACTGCATGCGAACTTTGCCACTGGGGCCTTCGGTGGATCTCCCTATGGGGCCACGAACCGTGTGAAGGGTGTGCCGAAATTGGGTGGAACTGCATGCGAGCTTTGCCACTGAGGCCTGCAATAGAGCTCCATATGGGGCCACGAACCGTGTGAGGGGTGCGCCGAAACGGTGGTGGAACTGCATGCGAGCTTTGCCACTGGGGCCTTCGGTGGAGCTCCATATGGGGCCACGAACCGTGTGAGGGGTGCGCCGAAACGGGGGTGGAACTGCATGCGAGCTTTGCCGCTGGGGCCCTCGGTGGAGCTCCCCATGGGGCCACGAACCGTGTGAGGGGTGCGCCGAAACGGGGGTGGAACTGCGTGCTAGCTTTGCCACTGGGGCCTTCGGTGGAGCTCCCTATGGGGCCACGAACCGTGTGAGGGGTGTGCCGAAACAGAGACATGCAAGGGGCAGAGGCAAGGAGAGGGAGGGGAGGCAGCGGGAAGAGAAGGAAGGAGGAGGCGGGCGCTGTCTCTTCAAAACGAAGACCCAACACCACAGGCGCCATGCCCTGCCCTCCTCTGGGGCCCCCCCGCGCAGGCGGGCGCCTGTCCGAGGAGGTCTCCCGCGGAGGGAGGCCCTCCGGCCCGGACGGGGCGGGGCGAGACGCCCGGCGCCGGTCGGGGGCCTCCTTCTGGGGGGCGCCCTTTGCGGTGTTAGAGGCCTCCATGGAGATCTGCGCCCTTTGCGGTGTTAGGGCCCTTTGCGCCCTCCTCCTGGGAGGCGCTCTTTGATGGGGATCGGCGATGGAGTGTGAATAGGGAGGAGGAGGAAGAGGAGGAGGAGGAACAGGAGGAGGAAGAGGAGGGGGAGGAGGAGCGCCGCATCGGCGATATGTCGGCGATGCATCGGCGATGCATCGGGGGTGCACGGGCGACGCATCGTTGACGCTGGCGATGCATCGGCAACGTCGGCGCGGGGAAACGCCGTCTCCACATCGAGCCGCATCGGCGATGCGGCGGGCGATCCTCCGACCCCATCTACACCCTGCGAAATGCTTAAGAAATCATGGGTTAAGAAATTCATAGTCTCAGAACCTGAATAGAAACCCAACATTTCCATTCAAATCTTAGGATTCACATTGAAACATTAAGAATAATCGAGACTCTGGCCGAAAACTTGAGTTTTCTTAAGCATCGCCGAAGGTGTACTCGGACCCCATCTAGTAGGCCTGGAGCTGTGGGGATGGGGGGGCTCGTCGGCCCCGCGCGGGCCCTCCGGGAGGGCAGGCCCCCCCATCAAATGAAAAAAAAGGACTGTGAGAACGGGTCGGGAGGAGTGAAATGGATCGGGTCGGGGCGGGTCATGGAGAAAACACGCCGGGAGGTGCTCCTCTCTGCTCGGCCTCTGGGGGCCCGTGCTGGGCTTCGGGACCGTCTCAGAACGACTCAGGACGAAAATTCGGTCCTGGGGAATGGGTCCAGACCTCTGGGGGTCGACGCTATGACAAAACCATGACGTCGGGGGTCTGGGGAGGGCGGCCGCCCGCTGCAGAGCGCGAGGCAGGAGGACGCCAAACGAGCGAAGAAACGGGACTCGTGAAAGATGGCACAGCGACCTCACACTGCGGCTTACGCGGGCCGCCAGCACGGCATACCACATCGGAAACGAGGACGCCTTCGCGCGACCTCACGCGGGCAGCTTACGCGCGAATGTCGGTGAAGACGACCCCGTGCATCTGCACCCATCCAGGCCAAGCCGATCCTGGGCTCGTCCTGGCCAGGCCGCTTCAGCGCGAGGGGGGCCCGCGACAGTGGGCCGAGGCGAGGCGCCGACAAGCCACGTCGGCCGCGAGGTGCTGCTGAGCCGGGGGAGGTCGTGGGCGAAAGACACCATTTGTATCCTCGGCCTCGCGGGCCAGGCCCCAGGGCCGCGACCCTGCCGATATGGGGCGCTTCTGCTACGCGCCTCCGCCCCCGCGGAGCGTCTCCGTGCGACTGCGTACCCGCCGCATCGCGCTCCTGAGTCCAGACCGCTTCGCGCGGATACGGATATGTTCGCCGCTCGTGAGGACAGAAGAAAACACATAAACATAAACTTTTGGTGTTCCGTGCGGACTGCTTGGATCCGCGCTGGACCCGGAGCGCGCCAAGGGCGGCGCCAGAGGCGCCGCCGGTGGGGCCCAGCGCGGATTCAAGAAATCCGCGCAGAGCGCCAAAAGTTGATGTGTATGTGGTTTGCTGAGCAACTCCAGACCCCGCTGCCACTTCCCGCCCTTCTCACATTCGCCGGTCCTAGCGATGGAATCGGTGACGCTGGGATCAAAGCAGCGCCATCGCCCATTGCCACTCGCATTTGTTCGCACAAGCTAACTCCAGCTTTGCAGCTGCTGATCTTGGGCCCCAGCTTTGCCTCCTACATCTCGCTGAGCAGCGACTGAGCCCGCAGCCCCTCTTAGCCTCCTCCGCACGCGCTAATGCCAGCGCTGTAGCTGAGGACGCTCGGGTTCATCTTCGCCTCCCACGTCTCCCCGAGTAACGTCCGAGCCGTAATCCCAGCGTTGTAATTGACGACGGCGGGCTCCAGTGCCGCCTTCCACGTCTCCCTGAGCGCTGCCGCTGGTCGCCCTTCCAGCCCGCGCTGATCCCGGCGCTGTAGCTGATGACGTCGGGCTACACTTTTGCCTCCCACGTGGCGCAGATCAGCGACAAGGCCTGCTGCGACCGCTTGCCCTTTTCGCAACTGCTGATCCCGTCGCGGTGATAAAGATGATGCTGAGCTCCAACGTTCGCGCATCTGGCCGAGCAGCGCCGAACTACGCTGCTACGGCTCGCCCTTGTCGTACGTACTGATCCAAGCGCTGTAACTGATAATGTCGGGGTCCGACTTCACCTACCACGCCTCGCCCAATAGCAACGGAGCCTGCTGCCATTGATTGCCCTTCCGGCACGCGCTGATCCCAGCGATGCAATTACTGGTGGCATTGGGCTCAAGCGCTGCCTCCCGCATCTCGCTGAGCAGCGCCTGCGTCGGCTGCCACTGCTCGTCCTTTCTTGCACCCAGTAATCACAACGCTAAATTTCTGATAACGTCCGAATCCCAACGTCTCCTTCCACATCTCGTTCAACAGAGCCAGAGCCCACGGCGACTGACCACCTTTCACTCACGCGCTGTTCCTCAGCGTTGTGGCTGACTAGCCTGTCGCATCGTCTCTCCGCAGCAGAGCGACGATCGCAGGGCTGTAGCTCCGTTGAGCTGTAGCTTCGCCTCCCGCCTCTCAATCAGCAGCGCCAGGGCCCGCTGCCACTGCTCGTCCTTCGCGCACGCGCTGAACCCAGCGTTGTAACTTCGGCTCGCACATCTCGCTGAGCAGCGCCAGGGTCCGCACCAGCAGCCTAACTAGCCTGTCGCATCGCTCCTGCGCAGCAGAGCGACCATCACGATCGTCGCCGTCTGCCGCCGCCGTCGCCGCAGCTGGCGCTGCCGTTGCCGCATCTGCCGCAGGTCCCAAGGGCGTTCGGTGCGCTCAGTGCGCTTGGGGGTGCTCGCCAGAGCGCCATTTTCGCACGCGCCGCGACCCGAACTGAAGTCCTGAAGACGTTGGGCTCCAGCTTCGCCTCTCACATCTCGCTCAGCAGCGCAAGCGCCGCCTGCCACTGCTCACCCTTCTTGCACGCGCTGACCCCAGCGCTGTAGCTGGTGACGTCGGGCTCCAGCGTCGCCTCCCACATCTCGCTCAACATCGCGAGAGCCAGCTGCCACTGCTCGCCCTTTTCGCACGCGCTGATACCAGCGTTGTAGCTGATTACGTCGGGCTCCAGCGTCGCCTCCCGCATCTCGCTCAACAACGCCAGCGCGGGCTGCCACTGCCCGCCCTTCTCGCACGCGCTGATCCCAGCGTTGTAGCTGATTGCGTTGGGCTCCAGCTTCGCCTCCCACATCTGGCTCAAAAACGCCAGCGCGGGCTGCCACTGCCCGCCCTTCTCGCACGCGCTGACCCCAGCGTTGTAGCTGATTGCGTTGGGCTCCAGCTTCGCTTCCCACATCTCGCTCAGCAACGCCAGCGCGGGCTGCCACTGCCCGCCCTTCTCGCACGCGCTGATCCCAGCGTTATAGCTGATGACGTTGGGCTCCAGCTTCGCCTCCCAAATATCGCTCAGCAGTGCCAGCGCCGGCTGCCACTGCCCGCCCTTCTCGCACGCGCTGATCCCAGCGTTGTAGCTGACTAGGGCTGACCCGTGGACTCCGCCCACGACATCTTTCTGGAATGGTTCTCGGAGGAACGGCGCAGATTGTACCGAAAATCTGCAAACACGGCGGCGGCTCGGGCGGCGGCAGCGAGACCGCGCCTTCGTGTCCGAGCTCTTGCAGCGCTCCAGCAGCTTGGCCCAGCGCACTGCTCGTTCACCCCCCTCCTATTGAGGGCAGTTTCGAAGTCTCTCGGGGATGTGCGTCGAAGTCGAAGCCCATCTGAGGCGTCTCAGGAGCACCAGGGGAAGGGCTTGGGAGGCCATCGGGGAAAGCCACCGAAAGCGCCGGGGAGGCTCGCAAGGATCTACAGGGAGGGCCCAAGATAGCTTCAAGAAAAATTGAAAGTCTGTAGAATCTTTAGAAAAACCGCTGTTGGGTCGGCCATCACCTCCGGGCGCGCCTTGATGGTGCGATCCAGTCGCATCACTGCCAACTTGAGGGTTTGTTCGCCATATCCCATTCTGTTGGCCCAGAGAGCCTGTGGAGGCCTTCGGGCGAACAGAACGGGACAGGGCAAGGAATGCGGAAGACTTGTGCGAATCTCCTGGGCCCCCAGGTGCTCGTCCGAAGAAAGCGGAGAGATCCCTGGGTCATGTCTATTGGCTGCTGTCCCAGGGGTCCGGTCTGGTTGGCCCGAAGAGTTTGCCAAGGCCCCTGGGGGAACAGAATGGCACAGCATATGGGGCAAAGGGGGGCGGTAGCTGGCCTGTCAGACCCAGCGTTCGTCTTCTGCCCAAGCGGCGCGGGGCCCACGGGCCCCAGGGTTGGCGGCCCGCTGGGTTTCCTCTTGTTCGCCCACAGGGTTGGAGGAGGTCTCCAGGGGAACAGAATGGGGCAGGACAATGAATGTGGGAGACTTGTCGCAAGCTCCCAGCCAACCCGAGTGTTCGCCCGAAGGGTGTGGGGCCGCGGTGGCTCCCTCAAAGGGCCGTCTTGGAGCCGTCTAGGCCCGTCTTCAGGGCGCCGTTTGCCGTGATGGGGCCGTCTTAGTTCGTCGTGGGCCCCTCGTGGGCGCGTCCGTAGGCCGTCCTGGGCCCATCGGGGTCCTTGTTGGCACTATCGTGGGGCTGTCTTGGAGCCGTCTGGGACCGTGAGGAGGCCGCCTTGGAGTCGTCTTGGGCCCCTCCTGTGCGCCTCCTTGGGCCGTCCTGGGCCCAGCAGGGGCCATGTTGGCACCCTCTTGGGGCTGTCTTGGAGCCGTCCTGAGCCGTCGCAGCGCGCCTTGGGTTGTGCTGGGTCCGTCTTGGCCCGTCTTGGGGCCTTCCTGGGCGTTTCCTCGGACCCTCCTGGGACTTTCTGGGGCCTCTTGGTGCATCGGACCGCCGAAATGGCGGGAGACGCAAAAGGTGTAACAGTAAACAATGGAAAATTAACGATTTTTACCAGCTGGGGCTCCCTTGCCATCTTGGCCCGTCTTGAGGCCCCGACCGGGCGCGTCCTTGGGCCGTCCTGGGCCCGCCCTCCTGGGACCGTCTTGGAGTCGTCTTGGGCCGTCTTGAGCGCGCCTTGGGCCGTCCTGGGCCCGTCTGGGGCCGTGTTGGCACCCTCGCGGCGAGGAAGCTCGGAGGCAGGTTCGAGGCATCTTTGGGGCCAGTTTGGAAGCTGTTGGGGCCTCTGTTGGGGCCTCGTTTGGGCTCCTTGGGAGCCCCCTGGGGCCTCTTCGGGGGATTCTTGGCGGCCCCTTGGGGCCTCTTGGGGGCCTGTTTGGGCCTCCTGGCGCCCTCTTGGGGCGGAATGCTTGGATTTTCGGTCCGTGGTCCCCCTCTTGGCCCCCTCTTGGGCCTGTCTTAGGGCCCTCGTGGGCCGTCTTGAGCGTCTCCTGGGTCGTCTTGGGACCCTCTTGGGCTGTCTTGGGGCGCTCCTGGAGGCCTCTTGGTCCGTTCTGGGGCGCTCTTGGAGGCCTCTTGGGCCGTCTTCGAGCGTCGGAAAGCGGAAAAGGCGAGAAGGCCAAAATCCTTCCAAAACCGTCGTAAAGTGGATGATTTGGGCCGCTCGGGGCCCTCGAGGCCTCTTCTGCCGTCTGGGCAGCCTCTTGGAGCGCTCTTTGGGCGTCTCGGGGGCTCCTTGAGCTGTCTTGGGGGCCTCTTGGGGCCTCCGAAGCCTCTCCGGAGCCGCCCGGGGCTTTAAACCGCGCCGTGAAAAATCCACGGGTTCCCTAGTCATTTGGGTGGATTTCCTTCCGGCACGCGGTTCCTCCGGCCATATAGTATAGATCGTCTAGGGCTGACCCGTGGACTCCGTCCACGACATCTTTCTGGAATGGTTCTCGGAGGAACGGCGCAGATTGCACCGAAAATATACAAACGTAACACGGCGGCGGCTCGGGCGGCGGCAGCGAGACAGCGCCTTCGTGTCCGAGCTCTTGCAGCGCTCCAGCAGCTTGGCCCAGCGCACTGCTCGTTCACCCCCTTCCTATTGAGGACAGTTTCGAAAGCGCCGGGGAGGCTCGCAAGGATCTACAGGGAGGGCCCAAGAGAGCTTCAAGAAAATTCGAAATTCTTTAAAATATTTAGAGAAACCGCTGTTGGGTAGGCCATCACCTCCGGGCGCGCCTTGATGGTGCGTTCCAGTCGCATCACCGCCAACGGGAGGGTTTGTTCGCCATGTCCCATTCTGTTCGCCCAGAGGGTCTGTGGAGGCCTTCGGGCGAACAGAACGGGACAGGGCAAGGAATGGGGAAGACTTGTCCGAATCTCCTGGCCCCCCCAGGTGCTCGTCCGAAGAATACGGAGAGGTCCCAAGGTCATAGCAAGTGGCTGCTGTCCCAGGGCTGTCCCAGGGGTCTGGCCTGCTTGGCCCGAAGAGTTTGCCAAGGCCTCTGGGGGAACAGAATGGCACAGCCTATCGGGCAAAGGGGGGCGGTAGCTGGCCTGTCAGACCCGGCGTTCGTTTTCTGCCCAAGCGGCGCGGGGCCCACGGGCCCCAGGGTTGGCGGCCCGCTGGGTTTCCTCTTGTTCGCCCACAGGGTTGGAGGAGGCCTCCAGGCGAACAGAATGGGGTAGGACAATGAATGTGGGAGACTTGTCGCAAGCTCCCAGCCCCCCCAAGTGTGCGCCCGAAGGGTGTGGGGCCGCGTTGGCTCCCTCAAAGGGCCGTCTTGGAGCCGTCCGTGCCCGTCTTGAGGGCGCCGTTTGCCGTCATGGGGCCGTCTTGGTTCGTCGTGGGCCCCTCATGGGCGCGTCCGTAGGCCGTCCTGGGCCCATCGAGGTCCTCGTGGGGCTGTCTTGGAGCCGTCTGGGACCGTGAGGAGGCCGCCTCGGAGTCGTTTTGGGCCCCTCCTGTGCGCCTCCTTGGGCCGTCCTGGGCCCAGCAGGGGCCGTGTTGGCATCCTCTTGGGGCTGTCTTGGAGCCGTCCTGAGCCGTCGCAGCGCGCCTTGGGTTGTGCTGGGTCCGTCTTGGCCCATCTTGGGGCCTTCCTGGGCGTTTCCTCGGACCCTCCTGGGACTTTCTGGGGCCTCTTGGTGCATCGGACCGCCGAAACGGCGGGAGACGCAAAGGGTGCCACAATAAAAAATGGAAAATTAACGATGTTTGCCAGCTGGGGCTCTCTTGCCACCTTGGCCCGTCTTGAGGCCCCGACCGGGCGCGTCCTTGGGCCGTCCTGGGCGCACCCTCCTGGGACCGTCTTGGAATCGTTTTTGATATTCTATTTTGCCAGTGGCGGAAGCTGCTTGAGGTTAAGAACAGTACGCAGGCACGCTCGACAGTTTGGCACTAACTGCGATACAGAATGCTGTCGACACCGAACAAGGAGAGGCCTTGGGCTGGCGTGGGCCGAGTGAGGTGCCTTGAGAAAAGACAGCGGCACACACGGCAGATCATTCACGTGAATCACTTACATGATATACTATTGTGCCAGTGGCGGAAGCTGCTTGAGGTTAAGAACAGTACGCAGGCACGCTTGACAGTTTGGCACAAACTGCGATACAAAATGCCACACTTCAAACCTTAGGCCCACTACTCAAGCTTTGTGCTGGGGTGACCCAGCACACGTTTCCATATTTCAATGGATTGCTGTGCAACGCAAGAGGAACGCAACGTTTCTGCAAGGAGAGCGCACAGTTCAGGCGGGTAAGCATGATTTAGTTTAGTGTTGAACCCGCCATCCGAAAAACCAGTCAGCTCCAGATGAGACTTCCCGGAAAAAAAAACAGATCCCCGTGCCCTTACAAACGAGCTTCTCGAGCCCAGGGTGAGGAGCACACTTCCAAAATCGAATGCGAGTGCGGGCGCGAAACGGACGCCCGCAGGCACAGTAATCCACAACTCTATCACGAACTTGTGGGAGGCGGGCAAATGCTAGGCGATCAGGGCGAAGCCGTAGGAAGCTTTGCCAAGGGTTCTCTTCCCCGCCTGGCACATTCATCTTATAACAAAGTCTCTGGATGCGTTGTGAGACCCACCCTAACTTGTT